TCTCATCTTTTCACTTTTCTAATGCTTTCCATTTTTTTCTTTTAAAAAAGCATGTACAGTATCACTTTTATAATGGAAGAAACACCTTTTTTTTTTTTTAAGTGCGGACAACAATAAATGTAATTTAAAATAAAGGGAAACAGAGTAGAGGCAAGGAGACACAGAGGAGCCAAATCAAGAGAGAACACGCTTCAGGGGAGCAATCATGCAATTTGGACTTGAAAATTGCCAGGGAACAGATGGCAGAGTCCAAGCAGACATCTGCAATGGAGAGTTAAATCATATGCAAAGACACAAGTGGCCTTTGAAGCAGGTCCCGGAGAGGCCCAGCAGAGAACGCTGCTTGCCTGGCCAAACAGAAGGGCCAGAGCCTTTGCCCTGCCTCGTCGCAGCCTGGCTCCCTATGATCCCTTGCTGGGGGCCCGGGGGAGGGGCAGGATGGGGGGGAGCTAAGGCAGGGCTCCGTGCAGATGTGCTTGGCTGTGTAAGGGGACAAAAGAGGTTGTGGGAGAAGAAAGAGACTTCTAATCATGACAGTGACAAACATGGCGGCTGACATTTACTTGGGGCTTCATAGTTTATAAACGTTTCACATACATAACGTAAATGGCAGTTATAATCCTGAGCATTTTTCATGATGGCCCCGCCAGGAGGCTAACTGGCATTCCTATCTTAACCATGGAGGAAGGAGACCCAGAGAAGTGACGTGGGTGCTCACTAAGTGCCGCTGTCCTAAAAGCTTTCTCGTGCATTAATTGTCCATGTTGATGCAGCTAGGAAGGGGCAGAACTGGGGCTCAAATGTGGGGTTTTTGGATTCTACTACACTACACTTCTGCTCATATCTAAGTAGAACTTAGCTCTGCCCACAGAATCTCAAGTATGGCCCAAGTGGTTCTCTATCCATCCATCCATCCATCCATCCATTCATCCATCCATCTTTATTTTTCTGATTTTAAATTTAACACGATTGTATAAAAAGTACAAGTATTACTGAAATAAATAACATAGAAAGCAAAAGTCCCCCTAAATCTCGCACCTAAAGATACTCATTCTTTTTTTTTTTCCAAGATTTTATTTATTTATTTGTCAGAGAGAGAGCACAAGCAGGGGGAGGGGCAGGCCGAGGGAGAAGCAGGCTCCCTGCTGAGCAAGGAGTCTAACGCAGGACTCGATCCCAGGACTCGATCATGACCTGAGCCGAAGGCAGACACTTAACTGACTGAGCCACCCAGGCATCCCTAAAGATACTCATTCTTAACTGCTTGATGTGTGTTCTTCCAGATTTTTTCTATGCTATGCTAATGCACATATTTTTCTCTCATTTAAAAAAGTAGGATAATACTATATCTACACTTGGGGTGCCTGGGTGGCTCAGTCGTTAAGCGTCTGCCTTCGGCTCAGGTCATGATCGAGTCCTGGGATCGAGTCCTGCGTTAGACTCCTTGCTCAGCAGGGAGCCTGCTTCTCCCTCTCCCACTCCCCCTGCTTGTGTTCCCTCTCTTGCTGTGTCTCTCTCTGTCAAATAAATAAATAAAATCTTAAAAAAAAATACTATGTCTACACTTATGTAACTCCCATTTCATGGAGTACAAAGTCTTGGCAATCTCTCCATGACTGTATAGATCTACCTTATTTGTTTTAATTGTCCATGATATAGAGGTAACAATTGCTTAGCTAGTCACTTATGGATACACCTACAGATCTTACCTTTTCTCAATTACAAACATACTGCAATAAATATCCTTGTACTTGCATCTTTGTATATATGTACATTTGTGTAGAATAAATTGATAGAAGTGGAATTGCTGGGTCAAAAGCATATACACAGTCATACACAGTGCAAATGTTCGTAGATACTGACAGATTGCCCTTCAGAAAAAAAGGCTACTGGGGCCCCTGGCAGGCTCAGTTAGTGGAGCACGTGATTCTTGATCTCAGGGTTGTAAGTTCGAGTCCTGCGTGAGGTGTAGAGATTACTGAAAAGTAAATAAATTGGGGCGCCTGCCTGGCTCAGTCATTAAGCGCCTGCTCAAGTCATGATCCCAGGGTCCTGGGATCGAGCCCCACATCGGGCTTCCTGCTCCGCGGGAAGCCTGCTTCTCCCTCTCCCACTCCCCTTGCTTGTGTTCCTTCTCTCACTGTGTCTCTCTGTCAAATAAATAAATAAAAATCTTTTTAAAAAATTTAAAAAACGTTTAAAAAATAAAAAATAAGAAATAAGTAAACTTAAAAAAAAAAAGACTGTACTAATTGGTGCTCCCACAAACGGTGTATTAAAATGACTTGTTTCCTCATAAACTCGTCAATGCTGGGTATTCTCAGTCTAAAATGCTATCATTTCAAAACGTAAAAATAGTATCTCATTGTAACTTGTGTTTTAAAAATAGGAAGAGGCCATCTTTTTGTATTTCTGATTTAGTAAGTTGCTTGTTTGTGTCCTTTGGCAACTGGCTTTATATTAGTGTATTGCACAGAGGAGAAGCCCTGTAGACAATCCGGGATTATGGTACATTCTCTTTTAAGGGACAAATAAGCCCTGGAGATTTATGCTCACCATAAAACCCGTTCTTAAACGTTGTATTTGACGTCATATTGGAGGGCTGAGCAGATACGCAGTTGGCCAACCATAATCGATATTGGGTTTCTTAGTGATTATCACCTTGTGGGGTTACCTTTTGATTTATTAGCCACATGAAAGATGATAAGATAATATAATCACATAAGCCAGGGACAGAAATAAACATTTGCTCATCATCATGGACAGTTCAGAAATAGCTCCCCGGCAGGTGGATGGCAGGGGCTCTGGCACATGGGGGGGGGGAGGGTTGCATGCACACGCATGCGTATGTGTGTGGGCAGGCATGTACTTGTTTGCCTTTGAAAGATATTCAGTGCAGGAATGGAGGGAGACAAATTGTAGGGCTAGAGAATATCTAGAAGCTCGCATCTGGGGTCATCTCTCAGAAGCAGGGAAGTGGTCACTCCCGGTTAGCCTCTGTAGTGTGCCGTCTGGGGGTCAATTTTAGAGCGCTAGTCCCAACGTCACACCCCTAATTTAGAGAGAGGCTGGAATTCCGTTCTGCCATAAAGCTCTTTTTGGTTTGTCTTGGGCTGTGCTGGGCCTGGAATTAGGTTGATGTTGGGCAGTTCTCAGATAATCGCCTGGGGGCCTGGGGTGTGAGGTTTGTCATGGTGATAGTATCGTGATTCACAAATAGCTTCCTATGAATGAAACAAAAGGCATACTCAATTAAAATTTTCATAGATATTGCCAAATTGCCCACCAAATGACTTTACCGATGGACATTTTTTTTTTTTTTAAGACTTCATTTATTTAGGGGCGCCTGGGTGGCTCAGTCGTTAAGCGTCTGCCTTCGGCTCAGGTCATGATCTCAGGGTCCTGGGATCGAGCCCCGCGTCGGGCTCCCTGCTCGGCGGGAAGCCTGCGTCTCCCCCTCCCACTCCCCCTGCTTGTGTTCCTGCTCTCGCTCTCTCTCTCTCTGTCAAATAAATAAATAAATAAAATCTTTATTAAAGAAAGACTTCATTTATTTATCTGAGAGAGAGAGCGCAAGCATGAGCATGGTGAGGGGCAGAGGGGGGAAGCCGACTCCCCACTGAGCAGGGAGCCCCATGCGGGTCTAGATCCTGGGACTCCGGGATCATGGCCTGAGCCTGAGGCAGATGCTTAACCGACTCAGCCACCCAGGCACGGCGGGAGGGACATGTTCTTCAGTAATGTTGGAGAGCGCTTTGCATGCATCATCTCACTTAATTTTCAAACAGTTTTGTATGGTCAGTAGATAGGGCTATTATCTGGCATGGATTATAATGTAAATGGCGGCTCCCTGAATCCCCATTTTACTGAAGCAAACGTTGAGGCATCGGGAGGTTAAGGTACGTGCTCAAAGTTACACAGCTGATGCACGTCAGAACTGAGATTCCAACTCAGGCTCTTTCACTCCAGAGCCAGTGGTAACTGGGTCCATGGCCACCTGAAACCTTTTTTTTTTTTTTTTTTAAAGATTTATTTAGGGCGCCTGGGTGGCTCAGTTGGTTAAGCGACTGCCTTCGGCTCAGGTCATGATCCTGGAGTCCGGGGATCGAGTCCCATATCGGGCTCCTTGCTCAGCAGGGGGTCTGCTTCTCCCTCTGACCCTCCCCCCTCTCATGTGCTCTCTCTTTCTCATTCTCTCTCTCTCAAATAAATAAATAAAATCTTAAAAAAAAAAAGATTTATTTGTTTATTTCAGAGAAAGAGAGAGAGAGCAAGGGGAGGGGCAAAGGGACAGGGAGACCAGCAGATGCCCTGCTGAGTGGGGAGCCTGACGTGGGGCTCCATCCCAGGACCCTGAGATCATGACCTGAGCCAAAATCAAGAGTCAGACGCTCAACCATGCAGGCGCCCACCACCTGGACCCTCTTAAAGATTTGCAGCCCCCTTGGTGAGGAGATGGAAGGAAGGAATCAGGGTACACTCAGGGCGGTGCCATTTCTCCCAGCTTCAGTATTGTCCAACAGGTCATCCTCCAGGCCCCCATTGGTGCCTTCAGTGAGAAGCAGTCTCCAGAGACCGAATAAATCAGGTAATTTGGCTCAGGAAAAGGCATTGGAGAAATAAATTGCTGTTGCACCATGAATATAATAAGGCAGTTAGGTAGATGGAAATAGCTATCTTTTGATTACACGAGTGAAGATTATGTGCAGCAGGTTTTTAAGTCCAAGCTACCTTTTCCTTGGCCTCCTCCCTGCCAACTAGCTACATATTTCTAACTGCCTCCCCAAACTGTCCAGCTGGTGTGTGCTCTGGGAACACTAATCTGACTTTTCATATTAGCCCAGGCAAAATATAATTAGGAAGAAACTCTTCTGCCAGAAAATGTCACTTGCCAATGTCAAATAGAGATGATTTCTGCATATCCACTATTTGGGGCTTTTTTTTTTTTTTTTTTGCACCAGGATTGACTCATAATAGCATTGTGTAGTCTGGGATTGACTATGTGGCTAAAGAAGATGATAACATTGAATTTTTGTTACCGAAATTTCCTTCGCTTTCTCTTTCCCCTTCCCCAGATTTGGGCAGAGGCACTTTCACTAAAAGGAAAAAGACTGGATTTTTATGGAAGAGTTGACACGCATGTGAGCCTGACCAACACGGTTCCTGAACTCAGTCGATTCACGGCATGCATTGACCTGGTGTTTGCGGATGACAAATTAAGTGATTGGATGGCCTTCTCCTATATTACTAATAACACCTTCCTGGGCAGAGAAGACATAGACCTTGGACTTGGAGGAGACCATCAGCAGCTAATACTATACAACTTGGGCAAGACCTTTTATATCCATTACCACCTGACTCCCTTTCAGTGGCATACAATCTGCTTGATATGGGATGGTGTGAAGGGTAGATTCGAGCTCTATCCTGAATACAGAAAGGATACTGGTAATGATGGATCAACCGCAAAACCTGACACCTAATGGGACTCTGATTCTAGGACATTTTCTCACGAACTGGGACACCCAGGTAGGAAGCACGCTGCCTGGTTTTACTGGCAGCTTGTACTACTTTCAACTCTGGGACCACATCCTGGAAAATGAGGAGTTTCTGAAGTGTGTGGGTGGAAACGTTGTTAGCTGGGAAGAAGATGCTTGGCTCATCAACAGGATCATCCCAACTGTTGACATGAGACTGCGCTGCTGTGAGTAACTTCTGAGCTGTCCTCCTTGGTTGTGCTGATGTGGTCTTCTGCTCACTGCTCTGGATAACCCACTCTGGGCCAAGGCTCTGCCCTTCTCAGAGGGGCCCAGAGTTACCAGTTTTGTCATCTGCTTTTTAACGTACAGCAAAGACTATTTTCTTTCTTTCTTTCTTTCTTTCTTTCTTTCTTTCTTTCTTTCTTTCTTTCTTTCTTTCTTTCTTGTCTTTTGTTTTGATATCACTTAAAACTTGCAGAAAATTACAACAGGGCAAGGAACTTCTACATGTTTTTTACCCAGATTCACTGACTATTATATTTTCCCAGGGTTTTATTATTATTCCTTTCTCTTCCTCTTTCCTCCTCCCTACACACATACACACACACACACACACACACAGTTTCTTAACCATTTAAGAGTAAGTTGTGGACATAATGCCTCATTACCCCTAAATATCTCAGTGTGTATCTCATTAAAATAAGGACATTCTCTTACTGCTGTACATTGTTATAGTACAAGTATCTAATTCATCGTCAATATTAAAATATAACCAGTTGTCCTACTAATTTCTTTTATAGCTATTTTTTCTAGATTTCTCCACTGTTACTATTTTTCCCTCTGTAATTAATAACTAATTTCTGGGGAGGGGCACCTGGGTGGCTCAGTTGGTTAAGCGTCTGACTCTTGGTTTCGGCTCAGGTCATGAGTTCATGGGTTGTGGGATTGGGCTGCACTCTCAATGGGGAGTCTGCTTGAGGATTCTCTCCCTCTGCCCCTCCCCCCACTCTCGCTCTCTCTCAAATAAAGTAATAAATATTTTTTTAAAAAACTAACTTCTGGGGAGATATTTGGAGGCTATGTAAATATCCTGTTGTTATCAAACTTTTTAAAAAAATATTTTATTTATTTATTTGTCAGAGAGAGAGAGAGCCCAAGCAGGGGGAGCAGCAAGCAGAGGGAGAAGCAGGCTCCCCGCTGAGCAAGGAGCCCGATGTGGGACTCGATCCCAGGAATCTGGGATCATGATCTGAGAGGAAGGCAGATGCCCAACCAACTGAGCCACCCAGGCATCCCTGTTATCAAACTTTCATCCAGTAGTTTTACATCTATCGATGGTACTTGCCTCAATGGCTTATACAATAGTCACAAAATGTTGATTTTTAAAACTCCATCATTTTTCAACATTTTTTAGTGAGTGTTCTATTGCAGTGAAGAGTGTTTTCTTCTTCCACATTTACTTAGATATTCCTTCAGTTGTTTATGTGTTTATACCAGCATGAACTCATGGATTCTTACCTTATTCAATGGGTTACAATCTGTTGCTATCATTTATTTTGATGTTCAAGTTGGCCCAATTTGGGCCAGTGGGAGGCCTTCCATCTGGCTCTTGTGTCCTTTTGACACGTTCCCATCATTTTTTGAGTACTTCCTTACTTTTAGCACAAGATGTTATAGGCTCATCTTGTACTTCCTCTGCTCAGCGCAAGAATCAGCCATTTTACCAAAGAGTCCTGGTTCCTTTTAGCAAGTAATGGGATTTATAAACCAATTCATTTTTCTTTCATGAGCAATGATGATGTTAGGGACTGTTTGGGATGGAGTTCTTGTAAGAAAACTGGCTCTTCGGAATGACACATGTATTTTTCTCCTTCTTTCCCATTTCGATGAGAAAATATAGGATTGGTTTTCTCTGTACAACCCTGTTCTCCCCTCAGATCCAATCTTTTCCACCCTTAGCAGCAGCCGTCCTGAGCGTGGGTAAAGTCAGTGATAACAGCATTAAGATGGGATTTTTTCCCCATTTCCTGAAATGTTTACTCATTCTTAGGTTTTATTTACGATTCTTAGGGATTTTGGGGGGGTATTTAGGGGATGGGGGCTAGATCCACGCCTAATAGGTTCTCACAGACTACAGGGATATATTTTCACCAGCAGTCCGAGTGCTGTTTGAATTAATGGCAGGGGGTTTCTGTGTTTCTTTGAGATCAGACTAATGCAAAGGAACAGGAAAACTATTCCTTTGAGCGACTACCTGGAGGCATTTGGTTTTTCTCTTTTCTGAAGCCTTGAAAACAGAATAGTGCTAGCTGGCTCTGATTACAAAACAGAGCTAGGGACTAGTAGGTTAAGCCTGAACAGCTCACCCAAAGCAGTTTAAAGTCACTTTATCTTTGATCTAAGGAACCGGAAGTATGGCTCTATTAAATCCATATGCTTAGCAGCGGGCTTTGAAAACCTAATCCGGCCAGTGAATTGCTGTGGCCTTTCCTACCACTTTGCTGGCAAATCGCTACATCTAACTGATGTTGTTAAAGTATGAGACAACCCTCATTTACTTTGCTCTTTTGTACCCTCTTTAATGTACAATCTATCCTCTTGGTCTGCCTGAGTTCCAGTAGGCATAATACACAAATAATCCAGCACAACAAAAAGGAAAAGAAAGCACAACCTAAAATGACAACCAGGGGCGCCGGGGTGGCTCAGTCGTTAAGCGTCTGCCTTCGGCTCAGGTCATGATCCCAGGGTCCTGGGATCGAGCCCCGCATCGGGCTCCCTGCTCTGCAGGAAGCCTGCTTCTCCCTCTCCCACTCCCCCTGCTTGTGTTCCCTCTCTCGCTGTGTCTCTCTCTGTCAAATAAATAAATAAAATCTTTAAAAAAAAAATAAAATGACAACCAGAAAAAGGAGTAGAAAACATTATTTTTACTATTCAGGTGTCTTCAGATGTTCTTTCTAAACCTTAGACCAGGGGTTTCTAACCTGATGTCCAGAATAGCCTTGATGGGTAGGCGGAGCCCTTGAAATCGCATGCAACATACTAAAAGTGCAAGATGGATTCTTTTCTCTGAGGACAGAGTCTATAGTTTCCAACCTATTCAAAAATAATACGATAATTGCTGCTTTTTACGAAGTTCTTGCCGCATGCCAGGCATTTTATAGATGAGGGAAGAGAGGCTCAAAGAGGTTAAGTAAAATTGCTTAATGTCACCTATTAAATAAGCAGTGGAGCTGGGATTTGAGCAAAGATTTGTCCAGTTGCAAAGCTTATGTTCTTTTCACCCCCACACCATGCAGGTCTACCTCTAGGGAGTCTATGGAGATTATGACCACTGTTTTAGAAGCTTCCTTTGAAGGGATTTGCTGGTGCTAATAACCCACGTGGGGAAATTAGGGCACCAGCTACAGTCACTGCTCACCACTGAAGGGGCTGTAACACCATAGAATTTCTTCTATGTCCGTCCTGGCCGTGTGGCATCTGGGGGAAAGGGGGCAATTACCTGAATAAATAGGAGTGATTACAACATGTCCAGCTTCAGCTTTTGCCTAATAAATTGGTATTTATGGTCCATAGAAGGATTATGACCTTTAAGAAATAAATTTTAATGAGCACATTGCTAGGTTACAAATCTCAATAAATCTATTTACCCGTAAATTATATATGTATATATTTATATATTCATGAGAATAAGTCTTTTGGGGAACATTTGCTGAAAACCATGAACCCTACCTGGATTTAATGAACAAGTATTCACTAGAGTTGGAGATGTCTCAGGAATATTTAAACAACACAGTGATAAATAATAACAACAGCAAAGTTGTCAGTCATTTGTAATTTAGTTTTGGAGTTGTTTTTAAGCATCTTTTCTTTATTTTTACAAATTACAAATGCAGGGGGCGTCTGGCTGGCTCAGTCCGTGGCGCATGGGACTCTTGATCTCAGGGTCGTGAGTTCAGTCCTCAACGTTGGGCATGGAGCCTACTAAAAAGAAAAAAAATAAAATCTTTAAAAAATATATTTATTTACTTGAGAGAGAGAGGGAGAGGGAGGAAGAGAGAGCGAGCGCTCATGAGTGGGTGAAGGGGCAGAGGGAACAAGAGAAGGACAAGCAGACCCCCCCACTGTGTGGGGAGCCTGATGAGGGGTCTCGATCCCAGGACCCCGAGATCATGACCTGAGCTGAAGTCAGATGCTTAACAGCCTGAGCCACCCAGGTGCCCCCAAAAAACAAAATCTTAAAAAAAATCACAAGTGCAATACATTATGGTTGTTTATTATATGGAGTTTATTATAAAATAGACTCAAACAACACAAAGTACATGAAGTATGAAGTAAAACCTATCCTACATCTTTTCCACAGAGGTGTCCATTCTTTTAGATTTTTTTAATGGCTTTATAATAAATGTTCATGTGTGTGTATAGTCTTAAAAAACCAAGAATAATATATGCATACATACATAATGTTTTACAGTTTGATGTATTTTAACTTAATATTATCATGGACACATCAGTACATTTAGAGCAACCTCATGCATGGTTAGGGCTACATGTATCCGTTGTATAGATGCGCTATGATTTCTTTAACTCACCACTGATGGGCATTTAAGTTGCTTCCCAATTTTTTACAGTTATACATAATGCTGTAACAAATTTCCTTGTGCATACATCTTGGTATATGTGGGTTTGCAATTTAATAGGACACATTAGTAAGAGTAGAATTTCAAGGGAAAAGAATATAAGCTTTTACAATTTAAATTGATTTACCATTTTTACTAGTTATTTTATTACTTTATTCATTAAAATGGATTTACTTTTTAAAGTAGAAGTAATAGATATGCTGGTAAAAATTCTAACAATGCATGAAGATAGAAATTAAAAGTAAAAGTCTCCTTTCTCGTCAATCTCTTGCCCTTAGCTCCTCTCCCTAAAAGTGACAATTGTTAATAATTTCTTATGTATTGTTTCAGGAACAATTGAAAACTTGGGTTTACATGAATATGTCTTTGTTTTTCTTTTTCAAAGTTGGGATCATCATTATGCACATAGTCGTCATATATCCATTTAATAATATATTTTGGAGGCATTCCCATATCAGAAAATATAGAATATAGAGCTGCCTGATTATTTGGGGGGGGATGCTGATTAGTATGACAGAGTAGGGATCTCCTATAATTTATTCAGTGAGCTCCCTTTGAAGTACTTTTAAGTTGTTTCCAGGTTTTAG